ATTTTTTTTAATGCTTTATTTTGTACATATTTGTATATAGTATGTTAGAATGGAATAGATATGTAAGTGATCAGTGAAAATTATTTATCTTATTTTCTATTTTATTTTTTTTAAGCTTTATATTTGTACATATGTTATCTGTATATAGTATGTTGAAAATGAATAGATATATAAGGGATCAGGGAGAAGTATCTGCTTTAATGTTGTGTCTTTTGTACATATTTGAATATAGTATCAGGTATTATTACATATACATATTTGATGCTTTTTTTTTTTTGGCTTTATATATACACGTATACACACACACACACACACACACACATATATATATATATATATATATATATATATATATATATATATGTGTGTGTGTGTGTGTGTGTGTGTGTGTGTGTGTGTGTGTGTGTGTGTATGTATATATATACACATATGTGTTTGTGTGTGTGTGTGTGTGTGTGTGTGTGTGATATATTATATATATATATATATATATATATATATATATATATATATATATATATATATATATATTATGTGTGTGTGTGTGTGTGTGTGTGTGTGTGTGTGTGTGTGTGTGTGTGTGTGTGTGTGTGTGTGTGTAAATACGATTGTTTGTGGCAAAGCTCCAGTGTACCTTTAAGATTTTGCAGCATAAAACAAAGGCTATTTACAAATCTCATGTATATATCTTCTCTTTTATCTAAACCACAGGAAAATTCACGTGAAGACATCAGTTCCTTGGTATATATACTGTACTGACTAACGGACTTATTGACAATGACGCTTGAATTGATGATATATATAAAGGCTTTAAACTCTAAATGGCTTTGTAAATAGACATTAAGAATGAATCCAGAATTAGTCATTTAGCATGTAAATATGTTTAAAGAGGAAAATATATAGATATATATTTTTCCATGAAGACTGGGAGACGCAGAGGCGTAGAATAGAAATAGATATTGTAAGACCTAGAAGTAAAAAATAGAAAAGTAAAAGAAACTAGATAAAGACTAAACCATATGCAATGACCAATCTATAAAGAGCTTGATGCTTGTCTAGACTCAGACATTAGGTTGCTGAACCCTAGTGGAAGGGAACCATGAGTGTATTAAAGCCCTTTGGAATAGCCACTACACGCATCTCACCTGGTACTGAGAGAGCACCAAGTTCACGAGGTGATGTTTGGTGAAGAAAAGCTTTTTTCTTTGATGCATGTTTTAAGTACTGTTATGATTACAATAATGTGTTTTTTTCTTGAAATTATTTTTACCTTTATCATATATAAGGTTACACTCTTTGCAGTTGAAGTAATTTCCAAATCATTCCATTTTATGCTTTTGCTAATTTAAAAGGATGTAATAAACAAGAGAATCATTATTGTTTAAGACGAATAACAAATAGTGCTTATGTCAATACTGTAAATATTATAAGCAGAAAAGAAAATACAATACTAACACCATGTGTATTATAAGTAAACAATGATAATATCAACACAAAATGCATTATATAGCTACAAGTAAACACTGATTTTCGAATGTATACTAATCTTATGGACACTTACCTCACAGATCGAGCTAAACCCCCGAGGAGAATTGTCGGATAAAAATCTTCCCACAGCTTCAAAAATCGTCTCCTGCGCTGCACCACCTAAGACCCTACCCAGCTGACAGCCAGGAACCTTGAAGATGGCTTGAAGGATAACACCGATAGTGATTGAAGAAGGATATCATTTTAAAGATGGTTTGGAAGATTGCTCATGGTGACCTGAGAGATAACTTGATGGTGACCCGAATGATAACCTGATGGTAACTTGAAGGGAAATTCCTTGACAATGGCTAGCTTGTGTTATTTTGCTTGCGACATCTTCAGATCTAGAAACCCAAGGGATAACTTTGATCAGTGTCTGTAGTCTCAAATGTAGCGACCTTTGAATGACGATTAGCCATTGCAAAATAAATGCATGATAGATACCCTACCGCAGAATCGCCAAACTAACATTGGTGAGAAGCTATAACCAGCTCTGATTAATAATTGATGGTTAGTCTTAAATTAGTGCTCTAATGTGTAATGAAATTGGAGGAACCTTCAGTATGATATATATCTATAATGCTGTTAATGTTTTATTCTGTTATATTCAGATATATTTATACTGTTGAGAAATTGTTGTCGTTATATAATCCTGTTACATATATATTTTGCTTGTTTATTGGTTTGTTCACACAAGTTATTAAAGTGTTATGTTCTCTGTTAATTGTTGGGAAATTATCATTATGTATGCCTTTTATAATAAAATAACATTTCTTGACTTGTATTTGAATGGCGTGAAATAGAAACTTTACATTTTATATTTACCTACACTATCACTACCATGCATAACATAGTACCATAACCATTACCATTACAATACCCGTTACCATTTCCAAATTTCGCCAGTGTTACCATTCTTCACGCAACGAGACTACAGCAAGATTAGCATCCTTAATACCTGTTCTTGCCAAAAGGAAACGTGATAAGCCTCAAGTGTCTGAGAAGTACCCAAGGTTGAAGTATCTCGCCACCCTGAAAAATGTAATACTATAATAGTATTATTATTATTATTATTATTTTCAAATACTGAGAATCCTACCGCTCAGTCCCTCATTCACATACGTAATGAATACCACGTAACAACTGTAGTACTGTGGTCTTGTAATTAGTATAAAGGATACAAACACATACACAACACACATACACATACGTACAAGTCAAAATCAAAGTTGGTCCCATATCCGATCCGGACGTAGGAGACATGTTTTGTAGAGAAACATGGTTACTAAGCCGCGGGATGATGCGGTAGGGTGGCCAGTTCCTCTCCGCCCTAACTTTGACCCCAGTATGCTGACGTCAGCATACCAGTGCTCGCTCATTCACAACTGAGTCGACTGAGAAGGGCAGCCTGACGCGAACCCAGGACCATGCGATTGCAAAGCCAGCGCTCTACCACTGAGCTATGCCACCTCTTTACATACGTACACACAAATATAATATGTGTGTGAAAGAGTAAACATTTACAGTGTAATATATAAATTATCTAATTGTGCAATAACGGGGGTTTAAGTCCTGAAACGCCGATCTGAAATTCCACGTCATATGAATGGAGAATAAGTTGCCTCTAAACTAGGACATTCCATCAACTTTAAAATGTCTGACATACAAACAGAATAACCAAAACTGACACAACTACGATAAATAGACCATAATAACTATCAACAACACTAACCAAAATTCCATTGAGAAGCTAAAACGCATTTCAAACAGCCTCAAGTTTCTGAATTTCCGAAATTTTTTGCCGTTTTGAATACCCGGTGCCGCTCAAGTTATACAAAAAGTACCGATGAAGTAGTGGCTAGCCTTGTCACAAACGCCGATATTTATATTATTTCTTGCCTTCATAGTAGAAGGTTATGGTCAAAAATAGACATAAACCGCCCTTTTGAATGCTGTAGAATATATATAGATTTTTTAATTCGTTACTGAAGAGACGTATAGTAATTTGCACATTGTTAGTAAAGTTTTTGTTATGATAATGATCCTTAGCATTGTTGCGATTCTTGGTATGATCATTATTATCATTATTGTTATTGTTTTTGTTGCTGTACGATGACGATGAGGATAATGATGAATGATGATTGTGTAATAGTAAAAAAATAATAATAATAATGCTAGTAACTATATTAGTAATAATGATAATGATAACAATGATGTTGATGACAATAATGATGATGATGATAATAATAATAATAATAATATTAATAGTAATGATGGTAAAGATAATAATGATGATGATAATGATTATTGTTCTAAAGATGAAGATCATGGTGATAATGATGATGATGATAATGATAATAATATTGATAACAATAATAGTCATAACATAATGATTATGATAATGATAGAGGTAGTGGATAATGATAATGTTAAGGATCACAGTAATAATGATGACAATAATGGTAATAACAATAACAAATGATGATGGTGGTAATAACAATAATCGTAATAATACTAAAAAAGTATTACTATAACAATAACAAATATTACCATTATCACTGTTGCTTTATATCATTATTGTTATTATCATGACAATAACTATTATCATTATCACTATCATTAACTATCACTATCATTACTAGTGTTGGTATAATTATCATTATTTATTATCGTGTGCTTGATATGGTTATAATCTTATCTGTGTCATCATAGGAATCTTTTTATTATTTTGTTATTACTACTGTTAATACCATCATCATTATCATTTTCCTCACTGTCATTATTATTTTGTTTTTATCAATTCAGTATGGACAAAAAAATATTGTTGATTAATTCAGCAATCTATTTTTTACTGAATAATTGTGACCACGAAATCTTTTCATTATCGCAAAAAAATGCTGAAGGATACTGGTCATCAGTCATGATATATAATATTCCAAGAATCAGTAACATAATTATATTTTGCAAGACAAATTTTGTTAGAAAAGTGTATCAAATGATTATGTACATATGATTTTAATAAATCAAGTAACCCATTATAAACAAGGCATATATAGAGTACAATCGCAAAAAAAAATGATAATTATATATACAAAAGCTTTAACACACTATATATATCGATTCCCAACGCAAAATATATTTCTTTTACAGACAAGCAATACGTCTATTTTAATAATCCATTTACAATGTCTAATTTTGCATGTAACGCCTCTACCTTTTAGCGTAAAATGATATATTTACTACAACCTCTTTCGGAAACGCCCATTTTCCTGACGACGGTGTACCCAGGGCATCTCACCTCCTAGGGCAGCAACTACACACCTTACCTTGACCTTGGGAAGGGGCGGGGTGCAGAGGAAGAAGAGAGGTAGAGGGTAGGAAGAAGAGGAGATTGGGGGAATAGATAAGAGAATATGGGGTGGTGTGAGGAGGGAGGAGGTACAGGTAGGGGGGAGAGAAGAGGTACAGGTTAT